AGCCGAGCTTCGTGTCCGTCCCACCATATCTTCACCATTTTGCTTTCGACGAGAAAATCCTTCAATCCCGTCCGCATTTGATCATCCTGTTAACGATGCGGTCGCGACGTAAAATTCCCTTTAGTTATACTAAGCATATACACGAGCCATGCCCGTTGCAGCAGACTCGCAGGAAAACAAGTTAGGTTTACTCACTACCCATATATGTACATAGCTTTGCACTTTACATGTGCCGGATTCAAGCTCCTGCGTGGTGGTAAGGGTAGTAAGCGTTTAGTAAGGTCGTTGAAGATTTAATTTCATGTGCTTTGTAAAAAATGTTCTTTACGCGGTATATATGCATATGCGTTTATAGTAAACGGTTTTTTACTTCCTTGAATGAAGCACTGTCGGGTACAATAAAAGCAACGTTTGTCAGACAGACGTTAAACTAAACTTTTAACGCCCTGATGCTGCATTATCATTAACTCTCAATTCCACTGAGCATATAATTGACCTCACTGGACTGCTGCCAGCCAGAAACAAGCCACAGGTCCATGATACAGTGTAGTGATCCAGTGTTTGAAGCTGGCGGTCATTTTCTTTATAGTGCAAAGTATTGTTAATTAACCCAGCAACTTCCTTGGTAAAAAAATATGAAATCATGGTCAGATAAAAAATATCGAAAGAAATTTAGCATGATGCCACCGACTGACATTTCGATCTGTTTTACTAGTTTCGCTGATATTTTGGCCACGGACGTTCTGCCATAAAAATGTCGCATCCGTTTCATAGCGTTTCAATCGCCAAATCTGTCTTTCAGTTCATGCTTGTTGTTATTCGCAATATTTCAGGAAGTAAGTAATTAAAGCAAGATGAAACAAAATATAACCCCGATGCTCTCGCGTAGTTTCTACGTGTGGGAGCTTTCATCGCCCCCTCGCATACTGAATGGAATTACCATATGAATATTACCATACAGTCGTGACTTGCTTTAATGGCCCACCTAAGCGACCAGATACAAGCGGGCGGGAAATATTGCGGTACAACCCGGTGTACAAACTACTATCTGTCTTACACTACCGCAGTATCGGTGTAAAAGTGAACAAGCTTTCTTTGTTTACACGATACTTTTTCGCCGTGTAAATTCGGCATCAGTATTTAAAATGTAATTATTTAGAGGTTCAGTAATAGATAGGTTGTAGTTGGTTTCAGTGTATTCAAATTTCAAACTGAAATTAATTTTTAATCAGTGAATTATCAAGTATATTTGTCTTTTCTGCAGTAGCTTTAGATAGTGAGGGGAACATTCAGGAAAAAATGTCAGTGGTTGCAGCGGATTCGCAGTTTTGATGTCGCGACCAAGTGAACCTAGTTGCACGAAACGCCTGGGTACGATGTTACAGTGGCTAAAACTATTCCACCATTTACTTAAAAAACCAGACCTTTTTCAGAGTAAATTCTGAGATTGTGAGTGGTGTGAATTACAAGGAAAGCTTCACGGGAAATGATGCACCGTCTGCAAACTTAATTTTTTTTAATAAATAACTCTCTGTAAAGGGATTTCTATCAGTATTTAAATAATTTGGCTTGAACGGATCGGCGAGTGTCAAAATCAGTGCACAATCCGCAGCGTTACTGCATCTAATAGTTGTAAGCCACTGTATTTACCCCCTGTTTGATGACGAGCCTTATTGGTGCTAGATTCGAAGCTTGAGTTCAGAAAGGAAATGAATGAGGTTGAAGTTGCAGTTGGATATATGCAAGAAGGTCTACTTCGAAATAAGGAACAAAGGCGAATCAATTACATAGTATGGGTTGTCATGGATTAGCAGCAGTGCCCAGGCCGACATGATTGTATTGGTTCATGTTTTGGGTTTATTCCACTATAATGGCTGCTGCGATATTCTTCTTTCTTCAGTTCAGTTTATTCTAGAATTATTTTCCAAATAATATGGTTCTTCGTTATGCCGGCTCCGCTGTGGTTAAACTTTTCCCATCGGACTACCATGCAAACCATAAGTTTCGGAATCTTCTGTTTGAGTTTCGGCCAGGTTGCCTCAACGTGGCAGCATCCGCAAGAACAAAAGACGCGGTAAGCCGCTCCTTCCCCCCCCCAACTCCGCAGTCTCTGTCATTGCGTGGTTTGATAGCGTTCGTCAGAATATTCTTGAACAGACCGTGTGGGATCCAACGCGTCATCCTGCCCTTCCGTGGAAGTTCTGCCCTGTTTAACAGTCACTGGTGTGCATTACTAGCATGATGGTGGCTCACACATTCGTTCGATATCTCTAATCTTTTGCCATCTTGAGTTATGGCCGCTTCATGGCGTGTCTTTGCACTGTTTGGACAAACTTTTAGATTGTTTGTCGTTGACAAGAGCTATTAGTCTCTGCGAGCCATAAAACTAATGGAAATGCGATGCAAGGTGAAAGATGATTAATGAATACACAAGTTAAACAAAATTAAGCAAACTCGATTTCTCTTGAGTCCGCTCGCCCATGGTGATTCTTCCTCAGCAATAGTCCTGTTTCGCAAAAGGTGCACGATGCTCGATCACAAACGATGCCGAAAGCACGGCGTTCGGAATGTCGTCTATCGGCCTCGCCGTTTAGGTGCTCCCTGTTTAGGAAACGTTACGAACGTCGCTTTCGTCCAGTTTTTACTCGAAACAAAAAGCGCTTTTCGAGGAAGCGGCTTTCATAGCATCAGCATTTTTATGGCCATGGGTGCGCAAGACAGATATCCTATTTACGGTCGCTAATCATCTGTCAATGTTTTCGAGTTTTACGGCATGTCTGAATTAGCACACAAAGCATTCCTCATTGACGACGCCTGCTGGGTGAAGCTCGACGGTGGTTCACGTCACACCTCGTTTTCTGGTCGCCACGATCCTGCGGCTGGTCTGTCACCCCGGTGCATACTGTATCGGTCTCACAAGTCGTACGCACCGCCTGAGGTCAGCTGATCAAATGGCCAGTGTCCCTGTCTGGCGTTGACTCCGTACCGAATTCTGAAACAATGCACAACACGGTCGCCATTCATCGCAGATTTCCACATCGTCACTTGGCGTCGAGGTTACGTCAATCGTTCAGCCACCCACGAAAACCGCCGACCGTGCTAAACGGAGGTCACACTTTATGATTCACTGTTACCGTATGCGGTATGTCTAAAAACCAAAGGCCCTTTCACGGATTGCCCTTTGTTTGGCTCGCTCGAGCTTAGCGTAATCGCTGGCGGTAAAGACGCGTTTATCTGTCACGCTGTAATGAAAACAAGGGAGGATAATCGGCGAAAATGCCTCCTCTGATGCTCAGTAGGATGGCAATTGATTCAACGGAATAATGCAGGATGAAGAGCACTCATGTGGGATTTTACCACACGCTAAAAGCATGGAAGCCTATGGTGTTTCAAGTCACTGAATATTTATTCGTGGAGAACCGAATGTATCAAAGGAAGAAAACCAAATCGGGCAGTTTTCCACGCATGAACTGATCAGTTTAATAGTACAGTAATGTACCATGTGCCCTCGATACACCGAGACGTAAAAAAGGAACAGTGAGTGTAATCAGAATCGTACGTCAAAGTAAAATACAGTGAAAGCTTCTTTCCTCAGCTCTAGAGCAGTCAAGAAGGCCTATCACAAACCTCGAAACGTCAAGGATCACTGGTATCAGGAATTGACAAAACTTCTCGTGTCGTTAAGGATAATTTGCCAGTGGAAAGGATATTCATCCTATGGATTCGGACGCAGGGATTGAGAAACACTTTCTTTATTTACACCATTTTATTTAACGTTTAACAGGCTAGAGAGTGGTCTTTCATTTTAGCGCTAAAGAAAAAGGAAGTGGAGTCTAACTGTTGCAGTTTTGGTTTCTCTTACACTACATGACAGGGCAATTTCTGACCATTTTGTTTTCATGAAGTCAATGACAGAGAGATGATCGCAATTTCCTTGCCGTCAACCAGAAATGCGGTGTCTTAAAGGCCGGATCGACAGCAGGTACGTGACAAGCAGAGTGCGTAGTCTCCTGTTTCCTCACAAAGAGTGGTAGTCACTTATCTATATCACAAGAAAATAGTTGAGTAAACCGATCCGACTGGAGTTCGAACTTAGGAGCTGTCGGTTCTAAGTTTCACATCTTACGGCGAAACCATACCATATACTACCAAACCTCTGGAAGAAGATGACCTTTGAACTGGATGATACCACCTGTTAGTGCCATAAATTAATAATAATATCGTTATCAAACACTGAACTGTCCTGACGGATGTGACATTACTATTTCGTTAAATCCACAGCATCCCCTGCAATTTTTCGACTTTTGACCATAGATTCTGACGGACAGCATGAAATACTGAAATCCCCTAGCATTCCGGTTCTGTCGTCACCAAAATCATGAGCTTCAGAGGATGAAGTTAAGGGTAACAAATACTCCTTCTGTATAGTTTCTTTTACATAGACAGAGTGTCCCATAAATATATTCTCACTAATAATTTAAAATTGGCTTGCCTTACTACCGCTTGAATGCAGTATGTCACGGAGCCGTGATCTGTTTAAACAGTCCCCTAGGTGCCTAGAAGCAGGCGATGGTGCAACATTGCCGTACAAGCCGGTATAATGACATGCATCGTCGTTCACTACGGCAGTGTCGGTACCAGCTACTAGCGGCAGTTGGCATCAACGAAAATATTCATTTATTACTAAGCCTTCAAGCATTTAGTTGACTTCCTCGGATAGTCAAGCCAGCAGCAGGTGGGAACCGGTGGATGTTCCTTGCAGTCGAAACGGCCGGGTACGATGTCCCGTGGTCGAAACCGCTTATGACAGTGCCTAAATGGTTAGCAAACGGTTTGAAGGGCGGACGACGTTCGCACTGCGGCGACGAGCTCGTCGTTCGGTTCGACAGAAGGACAGCAGAAAGACGATCAGACAGACACAGACTCGTGTCAGTGCTTGCCTCCTCCGGACGGTCATTTCTTTTGTTCACGACTTATTTGGACTTGGGCGCTGCTCCAAACCGGTCTCGTTTCTGTCGTCAACAACGATTTCAAGATTGAGTGCGTAATTCGGACGGTTAACACTGGTCAGAAGACAACTTTGTGGTGGCATATTGACTAATCCGATAAACGACAGCTGACGTTACGGGGACATTTCACAACATTACGAGTTTTTACATAAAAGCGGGTAGCTGTCGCTGCGAGACAACGTTTAACAGCTGGCCGGACCGCTCGCGTTAAGTTTTGTGGAACCAAGCCCTCGTTATTCGGAAAGCGGTCGGTCGTTGGCAAAGGAGGGCGGTCGCAGCTGCCTCTTCCTGCGGTCCATCCGTAACTGGAGAGGGGCTGCAGTTGCTGCCCATGTCAGAACGTCCAGTCAGTTTGCTTTCCGTCAGAAACACCAAAAATCAACCGTCACTTCCGATGCGATGTATTACTCAAAGCAACTTTTTTCCGTAGCCTGGATACTAGACCCGCTTTTAAAATGCAACGCAGCGGCATCACACTGAAACTGCGACGAAAGTAACGTTCCGCCACTGACTGATAGAAATACCAGAGATCAATGCAAATCGTGGACATATTTCGTAGAGGTGGTATTGCCACAATGCAAAGTATAACCCTGGTCGCGGTAGCCAAAATTCGATCAAGTCCATCAAAAAAGTTTTGCTGCCTAAATTGCTGGAAACAAACGTAAAGCTAACATTTCAGCGACCACCAATCCATTCGTGTATAACATGCATGAGGTACATGAAGAAACAAAATGCAAAATAATTAAACGGAAAATTAACAATAATAAAGAGAAAATAGCTTGACAGATTGCTATTCAATGCAGATGAATGCCTCGTATGGATTAAAATGAGGAGATCGATTCGAGCAGATTCTGCGTTTCCCGTTTCTCGTTTTGCAGAGTCCGAGACAACGGCGGGATCACAAATTTTCTGCACGCGTCTGTCTTCTCATAGATGAGGCATACTGGGACCTTGTAGCATGATGTCTCGAAGCACTTTTATGAACAGCAGGGGTTCAAGATCAAGTGAACACATGATTTCAGTTCAATTTAAACAGGTTACTCCAGCGATTATTGGATCACGCAGTTTCACTTTTGTTTTCAGGAGTAGAAACGTACGCCAACTGCACACTCACACTATTTAGACGAGGATGAGGCTGACAATGGCAGTGAGATTACCTGCTTATTTTAGACTTACTGCGTAGAAAGAGAGTTTCAAGATCTTCTTCGGTAAAACATCTGATGAAAGGCAGAAGCGGAAAATGAGTAAATGTACTCCTCTTCCACATGATTTTGAACCTACACCCACTGAACTCCTTGTGCAAAGAACGGCTGAATCTGAAAAGATGCCTGTCTTCCCTCTTGACTGTTCCTTCGACAACTTACGTGACCATCTGATGTATGAACAATTTCAAGTCGCGGCATCATGGAGAAGCAAAAATACCGTGCAAGTGTCAAATGCGAGCGTTCCGACAGTTCAAACTTCGAAAGTGAACTAAAAATTGTAAAGCAGAACAAAATTAAACGAGCCTCAGCCAACACGCCAATGTCATTTTGAGTCACACAGAGTCATTTTTTTCAAAGATTTCACTTCAGTTGCTTGATTGAACTGTGAACGTTAGAAGGAGTGTCTGTATAATCTTGAAATGAGGGAATAAAATTGATCAGAATAATTACATCTTGAAGATTGAAAACAGCAAGCGACCATATTTATGGCCTTTAAAAGGGGACCAGCTTCCTCGCCCATTGACACACGTTATCGACTTGTCTGAAAGCGGTTGACACATAGTCTTGATCATAGGCAGCATGTCTAAATGAGTGATCATCATACTTAATACATGCCAACTCCTCCTGTACTGGTAGACAAGGTAAAGAGAAGAGGAGAGAAACAGAAACATTGCACAACTATGAGCCTGCATGCTAGCCCGCACGACTACTCTTGTCGTATACTGATGTAATGTCGTAAGTACGGGCAACAAATTGGACAATGAGAAGATTTGCATCAGTATCACAGAAGCTATGAATTCATCTCAGAAAATAGTATTATATGTCGAATTGAACTCTGAAAATGCAGC